GACCGGGTGTTCGTGGAGGAGTACGGGACGGTCAGCATGAACCTGGCAGAGGCGTTGAGGCAACGGAATGAGCTGAAGAACAGGGTAGAGCAGCTCGAGTTGGAGAAGGTGGTGATTGAAAGTGAGGCGGAACAACATAAGCGGATGGCGGAGCTGTGGGAGTCAACGGCGCTGCAAGCTGAACGTCACGTGGACTTGCTGACGGACCAGATCCTGGTGTTGGAGCAGCAGCCGCCGCAGCAATTTCACACGCCGCAAGAAGAGGAGGTGAAGCCGCCGAGATGGAGACACCACCACCGCCCCCGCCGGGGAAAAGGCAGAAGCTGGAAAGGACTCCGGGCGGAACCAGGTTACCGGAAGGGCCTCCTCCGGACGAGGAGTGGCCCTGTGCGGAGAATGATTGGGTGGTGGACGGGATCAGCTACAAGCCGGCGTGGGCCAGGGGGCGGTCGGCATCCAGAGGAGAAAAAAGGTTGCAGGAAGGAGGAGAGCCCTGGAGGAGGGGCGGGAATCAAGGAAGGTGCCGACAAGACGAAGGATAGGGTGGAGGTGAAGGAGCTGCTGAACGAGAGTTGCCGCAGCTGGTGGATGATGGAAGTCCGCTGGCGTTTGGCGACTGGATGGCGACTATCGAGCACAACATGGAGGACATCTCCACCTACAGCGCAATGTGGTGGGAGGACGTGTGCGACAGCGCCAAGGTGGTCTACGCGGAGTGGTTGGTGGCCAGTCCGCTGGAAAGATTGCGGATCACGGCCGCGCACGGAGCAGAGGGGGGCGGCCATGGTCTTGAAGGCACTCCCGGACTGGTGGCGAATAGGCAGCTCAGCATGGTGAACATCATCTACAGGCTGTACATATCTGTACATCTTGTGTCAGTCGAGAGGGGCATCCGAGAGGCAGCAAATCTTGTACGCGCTGCTGGATATGAAGGGAGGGAACGCCTCGGAGGTGGCCAAACAGTTGAGGGCCTGGAGGCATTGGCGGAGGAGAGCGTTGGAGCTGGGAGTGGCCCTGCCAGACGCTACTGTCGGCCCTGGACAAGTTTGCGGCGGCGTTGTCGAAGCTGGATCAGCAGAGCAGCTACAGGATGTCTACGGTGAGGGCGGAGCTGAATCTTGATACCAGGCCGACGCAGGAAGGAGTGGAGAGCTTCGCGGAGTACCTCCAGGCGGAATCGGCCCGTCGAGGCAGCAGGGCGGTGAGTCACGGGCTGCACCGCATATTAATAAACAGGGGTAAATAAATTTCCATGCTCAACATTGTGTGGTGCAGATGTTGTTGTGTGTTTCTCATGGAGAAACCCCATTCGCCAAAAGAATGAACCCGCAACCAGGTTTGCCCGTCGGTGTAAAGAAGGGGTTCTTCTCCTACACAAGCGGTAGGGATCTCGCTTGATTGCAAGCAACTCCTACTTCATTTCCCTTCGTTTTGTTTGTTTCATCAGATCTCCGATCCGCGGTTTCTGCCGCCCCCACCCCACCCCCCACCCCCAGATGCCGGCGCCAAAGTGCACGGCAGTTAGACACCCCGTTTTGAGTTTGGCTATGTAGTTGTTGTCTTGCACAGCTTGGCTTGATGTTTGGCTGCCTTTGTTTTGGTTTCTACCTGTTTGGCTTGGGATTGGATTTTACAAATGTTGTTTTTATACCCTTTCTCTTGCACAGGCTTTGAATGTCCTGTGCTTCCTTTGAGTGAGTTGGCAGCCGATTTCAAAAGCGACGCTGCTGCCAGCGCGGGCCGACGTGTTAGCATTTGTGCCCTTGGTTTGTGCGGGAGTTCAATGGGCAAACAGTTGGATATAAGCAAACCTTTATACACACACACGCAAATACTTTGGTGCATTTTGCTTGGCTGTTAGGACTTTAACTTTTTGCCAACTAATGGGTTTTCCACTACATCACTAAAAGTTGAACTTTTAGCAGGGGAGCAGAAAGCAACCGAGCATATATAGATTTTTATATATATATACACACTTACATGTGCTGACTCAAATGACGCATTCATGGACCTCGGAGGAAGGGGAAGGGGGCCGGGAAAAACCGCCTATCCCAAAGGTCTTAGGACTTAGGGGTCGCCCGCCTTCTCCATAGCCTGTGTTGATTTGTTGCAAGCATCCCGTTCATTTTTCGTCGGAATCAGCTTGCCGAGATCGTTTCCTGCATCGCTTCCCAAAATGGACCTATGCATGGCCTTTGGATGACATAGGGGTTATAGTGCTGTGCCTTGTTTGCTTTTGTATGGACGCTGTCAAGTCCTGATGAGCCGCAGGCCAACGGCAGAGCAGAGGCGGCAGTCGGGTGGGTGAAGAGGAAGGCAAGGGCACTGTTGCAATCCAAACCTCTGGCATGGAGCTGCGTTGCCGGTAGAAGTTCGCAACAGGATGATTATGCGGGAGATGGGAGCCCAGGGTGATGGATCAGAAGGGCAGCATCTACACGGTGTCGCAAGTGGTGCCGGAGCCTAGAGACCTGAAGGTGGACGTCCCGGTGGCCGGGGAGCTGTGGACCAGAAGGAGAAGAGTGGAAGGAAAGCAGAAGGAGGAGAATGGAGGAGAAGATGAGGAGAAAGGAGGAGAAGAGGAGGTGCCAAAGGTGAAGAAGATAGAGGAGACCGAAGAGGGGATAGAAATATCCCTGGACAATGGATTGAGAAGTTGGAGAGGAGGCAGGTGATCTGGGCACAGGAGAAGGATCGGTGCCTGGAGCTGGGCACAGGGGATTGGACGCCCATGACTTCCTAGATGGTGGAGGTCACCAGAGGAGAACGCATGAGGGTGGGACTCAAGGCGTTGGGACAGTGGCTGAGGAGGAGATGTTCCTGCAGACAAAGATCATCAGGTGAGGAGGGAAATGGAGATGTGGGTGCCGACGATAAAGAAGGAAGTTGGAGCCCTCCTGGAACAGATGGCCATCCGGGAGGTGAGAGAAGAGGAAGTAGATAGGTGGGAAAGGGAAGGAGAGCTGAAAGCAGGTGACGGGAGGCGTACACGTCCGGAGTGGAGGCGGGGCGCTGTTGCGGAAGGCGGCGGCAATGAAATGGGCCGTGGGAAGCTTGGACATCCGCACGGCGTTCCTGAATGCTAGCCATCGGGTGGTGGTGAGACCGCCGAAGATCCTCCTGGACGCAAAGGTGGTGAACCCGGGAGTCATGTGGGAGGTGACCAAGGCCTTGTGTGGGTTGCGGGCATCGCCGGCGGACTGGGGGGCCCATCAAGACGACACCCTCAGGTGGACCTCGGAGGCGGGAAGGAGTTGGTGTTGCGCCAGGCGTTTGCGGACGAGAACCTCTGGAAGATAAGGCTCGGAAGCGCCACGGTGGGGTTTATCTGCTGCTACGTGGATGACATGATGATCGTGGGGGAGACAAACATCGTGGAGGCGATGGCGCAGCACATCAAGAAGGAGTGGGAGGCGACGGACCTGGAGTGGGTCAACGCGGACAAGCCGGTGAAGTTCTGCGGGGTGGAGGTGATGAGAGACCCCAGCGGAGGAGCAAGTCTGTTGGTGGGGCAGGAGGACCACATCAACAACATCCTCAACAGGTACGAGGGGGAGGTGAAGGAGAAGACCATCCTGGCGCCTAAGGAGATCGAGAAGGATGGGGAAGACGAGGAGCAGGATGCGGAGATGGTTCGGCTGGCGCAGACATTCGGACAAGGCCTGACATCTGCTATGGGGTGAACCGCATCAGTCAGCTGATACCGCGTCAGCCAAAGCGAGCCTTCGCGATGGGGATCTACCTGCTCCTCAAGAGGACGGTGGGGTGCAAGCTGGAGTTCGGGGGCGCTGCGAAGGGGCATGCATGGAGAAAACGGGGAGTTCCTGCATGAGCGGGGTGGAGGTCTACGCGGACGCAGGCTTTGGGCCGGATGGCGGCCGGTCCCAGCAGGGCGTGGTCGTGAGCTACGGTGGGTGTCCGATCCACTGGACGAGGAGGCAGCCGTTTGTGGCGAGGTTGACGGCAGAGGCAGAGCTGCTGGCGGCAATGGTGGGAGAGGCGTGGGCGGAGATCATCGCCGATCTGGAGGACAGGAAAGTCGCGTCGGTGTGGGATAAGGCTGGGATCGATGTGGAAGGTCGAGACCAGCTCGAAGCACTGAAGTTGGTGATGCAGGACAATGCGGCGGCGGTGACGCTGTTGCAGGATCCCGGCGGGTCATGGCGGACAAGGCCACTCAAGATCAGGGCTCGGGCGGCTCGGGGCCGGAGTGGAAGGTTGCCTTGGATTCGGAGGCAAAGCTGTGGGAGGAGGTGAAGAGGGTCTTCCCGGGGATCAGGAAGGCGCCAGTGGGGACCGAGGACCGCTGGATTGAGAAGGAGTGTTGCATCAAGGCGCATTGCCGGAGGAGGGTCTCGGAGTTTGACCCGCGGAAAGGAAGGATGCCTGGCATGGGGATCGGCCCGGAGCGCATCACAGTCATGAGGACCAGGCCTCGTGGTTGGTGGAGACTATCGCCTGAGGGAATGGACAGACTACGTCTTCAAAAAAGGAGACGCGGAACGAGGGGGTCTTGAGCTGGGACGCTGAGCGCGAATCCGATTCGGCAGACTGCCGAAGGGGGGTGCATGAGCCCCGCTTTTGCGTTTGAACATGCATGAGGGATGCGAATACTGCAGACCCTTTTATTGCCCAAAGGAAACAGGGCGCCGAGCTCTAACAAAAGCAAAGAAGTCACTCAGCATGTTTGGTGATGTCGGGTTGGGGGTGGTGGGAGGCCAAATCTAATTCGTTCAGATACTTGAGATGGCGAATTATTGTGTTCACGTCAGAAGTGTTCCAGGAGAAGGCAATTGATTGGGACTAACCTCGAAGCCAAGGGCTCCTGCATACCTCTTGCAGATGTTTCGCTACCTCAACTCGACCCACAACCAAGAGAACAAACACAGCAAGACCCACGCCATCACCATAAATAGCAACACAGGCTTGGCAGACGCAATTGCAAGCCAGCTGAGAAACAGAACATTTGACCATCCCCATAGTTGGCTCTTCTGTCAAACCTATTCATTACCGTCAAGCCACGCTGCCACCTGGAGCCCACACCCAGAGCCACGGGGGGGCAACTCTCTCGTGCGCCTCCGACCCCGGCCCCCGGCCCTGGCCCTGGGGTCCGACTCCCCCCGCCTCGGCCCCGGCGTCCCCGAAGCCGTTGGCTTCGAGGCTCAGGTCCCGGAGCCCGCGGTGCCCGGCGAGGGCGGCGGCCAGCGCCTGCCCAGCGACCCGGGCGGCGGTGCCACGGACTTCGGACGGGCGGCGCACTCCGCCCAAATTCCCCGCAGGGAGCCTCCGAAAGCTTCGAAGCTCCACTTGGGACAAAAAAGCCTCGAGAGCTCGAGAGCTGAAACACCACCTTCAAGATTGGACAGAAGCCTGTCGGCGCTGTGCCTGATAAGTTGTCTGCTGGCTGAAAACCTCTCTGGCAGCCCGGGAAAAGAGAAAAAGCCAAAAGATGTGGTGCAGGTTTCAGTCTCAATCAATCAGGCACATGAGGCTGGCAAAGGAACGTCACGATTTCGAGCACCATTTGGAAGAAGTGACGGCTTGCAAAGCAACTCTATTCGGGCATCTTTCAAGTGAAGAAAGGCGAGCAAGCTTTTGTTCCTGCAATGGGAAACCCATTCCCGGAATTTGGAATGGCAATTTTTGCCATGGTCGCGGAATGATGCTCAGGGGCGACTGGGGCAAAAACCATATCTTGGGGGCGCTCATGCGCTTATCCGGCATAATTCTCGAAGAATGCTTCAACATATCCCCAAGCTCTATCTAACTTTCGGACATACAGCAAGACATCATCGCTTTTACGCGTCTGATTTCCAAGGAACCATCATCGGAAGAACATGTGAATTCCTGTCCCTGTTCATCTCAAGGCTTTGGAGCATCCTGGCGCCAGCCTTTTGAACCGACTCTGCAGCCAGCGCAAAAAAAGCAATTGTTTGAAGACTCTGCTCATGATATGGCTGAATCCAGTAAGTTATGGCGGGAGTAATCTGACACTGGCCATTATGGAAGGGATCATAAAAAGAAATAGATATCTTCCAACTCAGCCGCTGAAACGCCTGTCATCCATGACCTAAACCTCCAGCCACTTCCTGTCAAAAGCAGGCAGGGATGTTCCACTTCCCCACGCCCTGTTGCAGGGAAAATCTGAAACCTTTGAAGCTCTGCTTGGGGAGCTTTGAGCAAAAGCTCAAACACCACCTTCGCAAATTTGCACAAAAACAATGCAGCATTGTGCCTGGCAAGCGTGATTTGCTAACTGTATGAATAATTGCTGGATTTGCACCCTCTCCGGGAGCGTGGAAAACATATGGGCCATGTGACAGCTGCCTCAAAGCAAACAGAATGCTATTACTGTGCAGCTTACAAAGTTCACCACTCCGCAACGAGGAGCCATCTAAATTAACTCAAGCACCAATATGCCAAAACGTGACTTCCCAAGCGAGGGTAGCCAGGCAGGTCAAGCCTGCAAATCCTGTCGATGCCCTGCCAGCCTTGCAGCCAGTGTCGCCGATGCTGTTCTCGAAGAGCCACAGCAGCTCCAGGGGACTGCAAGTCTCCAGGCCACGGGCCAAGACCTGCCGCGCTCTCCCCGTGCCTAAAACAGGCCGTGGCCTCGGGCCACCTGGCCAACCGTGGCCCCGGGCACCCCTCCCGCCACTCACTCTCCTAGTTGAAGATGTCGCTTTCCGCCGGACCACAAGTCGAAAACCTAGCAAGCACAATTGTTGATTCCTGAAGCTAGCGCCAATGTGTTTGTCAAAGCGTGCTCATACTTGAGTTCTGTTCATAGTTGCCAGGGATACAATTCCTAACCACATCAAGGTTAAGGCTAGTCTCCTCAACGAGGCAACCCCAACCTCCAGCCCTGACAAGTAAGACACAAGTTTGTTTTTCAAACCTATTGGCCGAACAAGGATTCACAAAAGAAAAGGAGCGGAGAGGTCCTGATTTATCAGGGGACCCTCAAATAGGTTTCTCCTTGACCTTGCCCACCTTGACGAGGTTACTCATGACAGAACCTTTTGCAGGGCCTAAAGAGGCGATCTTCTTACTATGGAACAGCTAGTCTACCTTCTGAGGGTTTGACAATGATTTTAAAGAGGGGCAGGGGTCTTGAAGCTAAGGGCTCCATGGAGATTTGCCCACCGGAAGCACAGCTTTGGGCCACCCAGCCCTTCCCTCCCCCGGTCTCTGCTCGCGGCCTGGGCTCCCTCATCCCCCACGCTGCTCTTGATGAGCTTCAGCACCGTCAGCCGCCTGCAGCGGGGCAGGCAGTCTGCGGCCGCCCGCACCCCGTCCGGACCCAGGTGGCTGAAGTTCAGGCTTGTGGTCACCGCGGTTTTCGTCTCGAAGACGTGGCGCTGCAGCCGCAGCACCGGCTCCGCGTCACCGCGGTGGGTGAACTTCAGGCCCCCCGCCTGCACGGCGTCAGCGAAGGCCTCCGGGGTCAGCGGGGCCTCGCAGATCTCCGGCGTGCCCAGGGGGAGGCGCATGCTGCGCCAGGGATTGGCCCTGGAAAGGGACCACTGCTGTTCGGCAGCGCACCACCCCCGCTCGTTGTACGGGGTGTTGTTGGCGTGAAGTGGCCAGTCACTGCAGGTGGCAGGGCACTGTCCACGTTGGTGGGCGGGCGGAGCATGGAGCTTGGCCAGGGGGACGCTGCACACGCCGCGGTCCTTGGCGCTGTACAGACTGACCGCCTCTCTTGGCGGCGCCCACTCCGTGGGCGTCAGATCCTCCAGGCGGAGGGTGTACGTTGAATCATGGCAGTACAGCGTGTGCATCCCCCGCATGGCCGCCTGGAAGTACGGCTCCTCCAGAAACAGCGCGGCATGTGACGCGGGTGACGAATGTCTTGAAGCATGAACACAAACACATGGGGAGCTAATGTCATTCGTTGGGAAAGAACTTGGAAAGGAACGGAGTCGAGATGAAGGAAGAGGATATCATGTAACTGCTGGAAAGAGCTGCCAGCGGGCACTCATGTCTCTGTCTTTGATTGTCTCTATCATTCCTGCCCCAACATAATGCCCAAGAGACAGGAATGACAAGAAAAATAACTGGAGAAGTGATACAATAATGATAAGAATAATAAGAATAATAGTAATAGCAGTAGTAATAGTAATAGTTAATAATAATAATGAATACTAATACTAATGCTAACAATAAAATAATAAAACTATTTAAAATAATAAAACTATTTCAACATGATGTTCGCCTCTTTTCCTTTGTCTGGCTGCGGGTTTTTTCAGAGTTTGTATGACATCACCAACTAATTTGAAAAGGAACGGCTGAGACTTAGACAGGTCTCAGCAGCGACCTGAAACCATCAAAGCCGGTTGAGGTTTGCCTGCTACCCTCGGCCTGCACACCTGGCGTCATGTAAAGCCCAACTCGCCTCTGCTCACTGAGCTTCCCCCCCCCGCCCCCGACCTCTCCATGTCAACCTAAGGGTATTCAACAAGAACCACCAGATCCCAGACTAGAACACAGTGGACAAGCAATTTCCAATTATGTCGACTTTCCCTTGTTTGGACAGCGCCTGGCTGTAGGTTTGGCACCCGTTCCAATGTGTTTGCTCAGCTCTCCTCGGTTTAAAGGCTCAACATATAGATTGCACATGCTACATGGATTACGCGGCATTCATCGCTGAAAGACCTTGAGGGGCGTCAGCTCCGTGAAGCCAACGTAATTCGAGGGTGCTGGGCGGTTGGATGTTGATTCTCCTGCCTGCACTCTCACACTAGGATCGGAGTCCTCCGCCTCACTCCTCTGGAACTGGTACAGAGACATATAATCGATGAACACCGCGGCGTCCCAGTTGAGGCTCAGCTTGGGGCCGGTCTGAGAATTCAGCCGGCGGGTGACCTCGGCGGGAAAGGCCTGCAGCGCCTCCACCAGCATCGCGAGCTGATAGCCCAGCGGGTCCGGGTGCTCCTGCTTACTTTCCCTCTGGCCACAGAGAACAAAACGACACATTTGCAGCTGGTTGGCTTGAAAAACCCATTCGAAGCACGCGACGCGACAGCCGGGCCTTGGCCTCCCAGCAGTGGGAAAAGGACAGGATGCTGAAGGCCTGACAGCCTTGCTTGGCCTTCTGCTCCAACTCATCGTGGCTCAGCAGCGCTGTCTCTCCGCTGGCCGTCCGCGCCGTCTCCGCCTCTTGGCGCCGGGGCCAGGCGCGCCCGGCCTGGTGCAACTCCCGAAGGAATTGAGGACGCACCAGGCGGACGTTGGCATCGCGCAGGAAGGCGAGCAGGCCCGACATGTTCTGCAGGTCGTAGTCCTTGCAAGGTGTCCGGATTTAGCTCCTTGGTTAAGAACTGCTAGCGTTCCCGCTGTCTGTCTAGCTGTGAGTGACAATGCAATACATGGACACGTTTATAATCGATGTGTTAGCAAGCAACAATAATTAAACCTTGTTCTAAAGAGATCTGACGGCTAGATAAGAACTGCCCGATTCTCTCTGACGGCGAACTACATCCATGACTACATTTCAACGCAACGGCATGTTCAAGTGCGACGCTTCTAATCCGAGGATGTCCAAAACAGGCTCATCATCTAACAAGCTTCTCCGCAAAGACCCAAGGCTGGACAATCTCGTCTTCCGCGCACCTTGCGTGCTACTTGCGTTACTTCCGCGCTTCTTTCGCACTTTTCCTCCCGTGTTTCTGTTGTTTGTCATATGGGCCCCAACATGCGCATCCACACGCTTTGTGTGGTTGGGGCCATTTCGAACCTCCTCCGCACACATGCCATGTTAGCCTGGAAATTTGGAACACTACACCTCAAATCGAGGTCCAAGTGCAAATAACGGCACAAATCCATTCCTCACGGCTGATTTGCCTTGTAAAAAATACCTGCTTTCTGTTGATCGTGCTAACCATGCCCCTCATCTCTTCGGGAAAATGCTCTCCCAATGATCCATAATGATCCTGGGAAACCACCAACATGCACTGCAGCTCTACCTCTAAAAAGTATCTAGAAACACGTGGTTCCTTTTTGCCATCGAATCTAAACAAAACACTCCCACAACACTCCTTCAAGCTGTGCCCCAACGCCCCAAGAAGGGCTCCGCCCGAACGGCCGCTCCTGCGGCTCGCTCTCCTGCCAGGCGGAGGCGTCCAACCCGAGAAGTGATTTTCTTGCAGGCGATCGACAGCAAACCCACGTTCAGATTTTTACCTGCAATTTTCGGCGTTGCCTCTTTTGGTAGTCAATTGATATTGAAACTCTTGCTTTTGATTTGTTGACGCCGCAAAGCAATCAAAGTGTCAGTCTTGCACACAATGCAAAGCGTGAGTGGTCGAGAGCTGGATAGAATGGGACCGCCTGCGAGAAGTTTGGGTTGGCCCCCTGGAGAAGAAATTCTTGGGATGCACCCCAAGAGCCCGCAGTGGCTCGGAAGATTGCGTGCTACCAGAGGTACAACTGGCCCGTGCGGGACAGGCTGCAGGATGCTGCTTGCCTCGCCGAGGCCAAGAAGCAGCAGCGCAGCTACATCGAGGTCTTAAAGCTGGCAGGCGTCATCGTGCAACGGCCAAAGGTGTTTGACACACAAGTGCCTTCGAGACGTTTATTGGGGCTCTGTGACAAACGGGCACGGAGCTCCCACAGTCACAACTGGGAATCGTTTCGAGTTTCAAGGCATGTTGGGCTTCTTTGCGCTTGTTTGGCTAAGACCAGTTCAAGGTATGTCGTCCCAAAATCGGCGTAAGCCTAGGTCAGCCTGCTGCAAAGCATCCCTAGCGTTATTGACCAGTGCAAGTTCCGCACCCGCATCCCTGGCATCTCTGCCTCGTCACCTTCCCTCACCCATTTGCGTGCTGCGTGGGCTCAGTGGTTGGCTACCGCCCTTATCAGGGCTCCAACGGCGTGGCCTGCAAAAATCGTGGGTTCAGCCGGGCTTTCGAGCCTGGTGGGAAAGAAGCTTGATTGTGGCTCAACGGTGGCGAGCCAGGGGGCTAAAGTTAAAAATCGGTCTGTTTGTGCATTTGAGACTGCGGAAGATTCTAAGTACGTAACATGTTTGCAGGATTACCACGCATTTTAGTGTGTTCGTCGCTAATGCAAGCAATGCAAGCCACCGTTCGCCATCCTGGGGCGACAAGGCAAGAATGGGATACGGCTGAGAAACAACTCTTAGAAGAGCCGCTGTATCTTTGCTGGTCAACTCCATCTTCAACTACTTGTGAGGGGCATCGCAATACGCGAGCGTAATGTGGCAAACAGGGTTGCGTCGTGGTGATGTTTGAGGCATCGTGGTGATGCGCGGTAGAGCACGTTGTGCTAGAACTTTAGATATTGTTGATTAACTTCCAGCCACCAAGCCACTTCCATGGTGGCAGCTTAAATCCCTCCCCCAGCCTCCCTCACCTCTCAAGGCTAAACAGAACCAACCAAACCCCTTCAAATCCTCAGAATGTTTGCTTTCGAGGCCGCAGTTGCCCGGCTTCTCAAAACACATGAGCAACAAGGACCATGACACAACATGGCACACCATGGCACACCATGGTGCAACATGGCACGACACGGCACAACAACGCGGGCGCGCCTCTCCCTTGTTCCTGTCTTGTTGATTGTCACCTCCGCGCACAAACTTCTGTCCGCCCTCTCTGTCAAAATCTGCACTGACCAAATGGGCAAACTCTGTCTTGTGTATGTGTGTGCATGCGGGCGGTGGGTGATTTGAGTGTTCTATCTGAACCACGTACAAAAACTCTCTGTGAACGCCACTCTAACTACTCACACTTTCTCCACTCTTTGTTGTACGGTCTGAGCCACCGGCCCGATACTTCTTGCGCAGCGGCCTGTCAGCGGAGCGGGAAGTCTCTCGCAAGATCAGTTTCCTTTGCCCTGGTGCCTCAGTAACCCCATGGATCGAGCGATCACCCATACCTTCCAGTGCGACTTCAAAAAAGCAAAGCTAGTAGTTCCCCCACATTGGCTTGTGAAGCGTCGTCTTGACCGCTGACAAACGGACGGCACAGGGAACTGCTCCTGGCACCAGACATGTTTCTCTTTCGCGACGGCGGCGAAATGCTGGGAAACCGAGTTGAACTGTTTCGTTCGCCATCCCAAACTTGACCCGCAAGGGTCCCCATTCGCAATCCTCATGCCAAGCCAAGAGCATCCCCAGGCTCCTACCGACCGCTGTCTCTTTGCAGTCCAAGTGTTTAAAGAGCTAAATGAACTTCAATGCAGGGTTTCGGCGCCACGTGCCATTTTTTGGGTCACGTGCCCTAGGGGCGGGTAAAGTCAAGCGCGCGTGAGAGAGAATCAGGAATAGCTATGTTAGCGTCAGCATGACACATGGGGCTGCGATTGACGGCACTTGATGCGACCATGCCACACTTGCCACACTTGCCAGACCGCATGTGCTAGAACCCGTACGGGCTGCCCGAGTTGACCATAGCTGAATGCAAGCTAATGCATAGTCAGCTGAGCTGCCGATGCAGCGATCACTTGGATGGCTGTTGCAGAATCGTGCATTTGCCAGAACGCTCTGGACAAGATAGTTGGCATATTTGTGAGAGTCCCGCCTGGGGAGAGATGTGGAATTTGTAGAATCAAGAGAGCAGTGTAGCTGCCGACTCGTATTGTTTCAAGGCAGGGCCTATCTTAAGCAGTCCCCGTTTGAGCCGTGTTTTGTGTGTGTGTGGCAACTATTGCCAGCTTGAGATGTGTCACCAAAGTGAGCAGTCAGCATCAACGAAGCAATGTTCTGGCAAATGGAACAACTCCCTTCCTTCCGAATTTGGAGCTTTACCCATAAGGCGCAAGAACTTTCTGGCAGCGGGTGTCTACACGCGGATCCGTGTTGGGCCTGCTCAGCTCTTCGGTTGCGCTGCGCAGGCTGTGACGTTGGCTGTGACTGGCTTCAATCGGGAGACTTTGCGGCCGCTGGCCACCGGGCGGCGGCAATATGTTGCATGCCGCGGGCAAGACTTTCAGACAGCGTCAAGACCCACGACGACAAACGCACCCTGATTCACTGATGACAAGGACAGGAGAAACCTCTGACCGCGGGCTTTTGACTTTTGACAGCCTGCAGTCCAGAAACATTCGCATGGTAGCTAATGTCCACATAGTATGCCTTCCTCGCACACCAAATGCAAGCAGGCAACCGGGCTACCGCGTCATCAACAATTGCATTGTCTCGAAGTATCTGAAAACGGAAGTCAAACATGTTCGTCTTTAACATGTGGAATAACATGCATCGGGCAGACCATATTACTTGTCAGCCTTTCACTACAGCAATTGCTCGAGATCAAGAAAAAACGCAAGATCCAACAACTAGACACGCGGAATGCAACTCAATGAAGGCAACTTGGAAATGACTGGCAACAGTCGCACGGCCATGCTTAGGATGGCAAGACTGCGAGGAACCTTCATGCGCATCCCCATTCTTCTTCTCCGGCTGTTCGACTTTTTTCAATTTGCTGTTGCTCTTCTCGGGCTGGTCTGGGCTGGTCTGGCAAAACCGAAGGCACCGAAAGGTCCCAGACTGAGCCTGCCTGGGCGCCTGGATCCTGCAACTCGGCACCGCTCACTGCCTCCTGCAGGACATGAAGGTCTGTTCCAATCTTTGGGGGCAGGTGCCCAACTGCCTCAAATGGTTCTCTTAAAGGTGGCATTTGGTTGGCGGTGACCACATGCCGTCAAACAAAATTCGGCTTTGTTTAACTCCTCAAAGTTTCCCCCCCGCAGCCGGGGCGTCTCGCGGCTCTTTTGCAAGCTGTCACATTCCTTCATGCCTCAAGGCATGTGCTCCTTTGGGCAGAACTGCCGGCCACGTGTCTGTCACAAACAGCAATTCTGGCTGGACTCTCAAGCCCTCGGAACTGAGTAACTTCAATGCGCGCGCCTCCGTCAGCGTCTGGCCTGGGGGGGTGCCACCTCCAGCTTTGACTTTCGGCCGCCCTCTCTATCACAAGTTGCACCGGCTGAAAGGGGCAACCCTCTTCTTTGCGGGCGCTTGACAACTTGAGCAGCACTGGTGCAAACTGGCATCAGCTGCTAAGAAGTGAAACTTAAACACTTCTTCCAGTATTTGCGGAAAGCGCCGTTCTTTGCCACATGCAACCCATAAACATGCGAAGACATAATAGGTTATGCAAAGTCTTGACTCCAAATGGCATGTTTGGGCCAACATCGGTCTAAGCCCCGGGCTTGGCGGCGCCTGCCCGTCTGCCTGTCAGCGCGTCTTTTTTTCAGGGCCCGGCTTCCCTTGCCCTGGTCGCTTGGCAAGCCCCTGCAATGAGCAGTGTTGGAAGGGTTGAGTTGCCCCAGCTCATCGCCCTCCAGTGGGGGTGATGGGAAGCCAACAACTAAGGGTAAATCCGCCGACCTTCATCGGCGTGTCGGATACTGTAGAGAGAGGATAACCCCCCCCTGGCTCGATCCAAAGCCGTTCAGCAGCCCGATTGAAAACTGCGCTCACCAGGCATCCATGCCACCGTCACCATCCCAGACTGCTAGGAAATA